TATGCTTTTGTTACAAAGGATTAGTGGTTTATATCCAGTGCTCATTTAATTGCGTTTTCTCTTGGTAATTTCTTGAAAGACATTCTCAGTAGCTAATTTTTGGATTTATGACTTTACAGGGGCAACCTCATTTCTTTTCACTGAGTATCAGTATGTTGGCATTTTCATGGTTGCTTTTGCAATCTTGATTTTCGTTTTCCTTGGCTCGGTTGAGGGTTTCAGCACAAAGAGCCAGCCTTGCACGCATGACCAATCTAAGATTTGCAAGCCTGCTCTTGTCACTGCTGCATTCAGCACCATATCTTTCTTGCTTGGTGCTGTCACTTCAGTTGTTTCTGGCTTTCTTGGGATGAAAATTGCTACCTATGCAAATGCTAGAACCACCCTGGAGGCAAGAAAGGGAGTTGGAAAGGCATTTATTACTGCATTTAGATCTGGTGCTGTGATGGGCTTTCTTCTTGCTGCAAATGGCCTTTTGGTGCTTTACATTGCCATCAACTTATTCAAGCTCTACTATGGTGATGACTGGGGTGGTCTTTTTGAGGCGATCACTGGTTATGGGCTTGGAGGTTCATCCATGGCTCTTTTTGGCAGAGTTGGTGGAGGAATCTATACCAAAGCTGCTGATGTGGGTGCTGATCTTGTGGGAAAGGTGGAAAGGAACATTCCTGAGGATGACCCTAGAAACCCAGCTGTAAGTAATATTTATCTACGAATATGTTATAGCACTTTGAATTCAGAAAATTGAGTTGTAGTTCCTCCTTTTGGGTTGTCACTGAGTTGTTTCTATGTTTTCAGGTGATTGCTGATAATGTTGGGGATAATGTTGGTGATATAGCTGGAATGGGATCTGATCTTTTTGGGTCCTATGCTGAATCATCTTGTGCTGCACTTGTTGTTGCTTCCATCTCTTCTTTTGGCATCAATCACGAGTTGACACCAATGTTATATCCTCTCATCATCAGTTCCATTGGTATTGTTGTTTGTTTAATCACCACCTTATTTGCCACTGATTTCTTTGAGATCAAGGCTGTTAAGGAAATTGAGCCATCATTGAAGAGGCAACTTATCATCTCTACTGTTCTCATGACTGTTGGAATCGGGATTGTTAGTTGGATAGCTCTTCCATCTTCCTTTACCATTTTCAATTTTGGAGACCAGAAAGCTGTGAAGAACTGGTAAGCTGTTGATGCTTCTTTTATTGGAAAATATCTAGAGTCATATGCTTTATTAGAATGAGTGTGTAATATTGAATTTCCTTCTTCAGGCAACTATTCTTATGTGTCGCTGTTGGTCTTTGGGCTGGCCTAATTATTGGTTTTGTAACTGAGTACTATACTAGCAATGCATACAGGTAACAGTCTTGATGGCATTATTTTTCTCCTTGACTCATCCTTTGTTATTATTGATTTTATCACTTTCTTTGCTTTCACCTGCAGCCCTGTACAAGATGTTGCTGATTCCTGCAGGACTGGAGCTGCAACTAATGTTATTTTTGGTCTTGCATTGGGTTACAAGTCTTGCATTATTCCTATTTTTGCTATCGCAGTCAGTATTTTTGTTAGTTTCAGCTTTGCTGCTATGTACGGCATTGCTGTTGCTGCCCTTGGAATGCTGAGCACCATAGCTACTGGATTGGCTATTGATGCTTATGGTCCCATCAGTGATAATGCTGGAGGCATTGCTGAGATGGCTGGCATGAGCCACAGAATACGGGAGAGAACTGATGCTCTTGATGCTGCAGGAAACACCACTGCTGCTATTGGAAAGGTTTGATTTGTTTTCACTTAAAGCATGGGGCTTACTTTTTCCCTTTTTATTTGATTTATGGCTTCTCCATGTTGGTTTAGCATAACAAGATCAAATGCAGGTTTTAGTATTTGGTTGGCACTTGGCACTGATGTCTTTGCTAAAATCTTGCATTGGTCCATTGAAGCAACTTGATTTTTTTCTTTTTTCAATCCTAACTTTTTCACTTTATTATAAACTGAATTTTAGGAGTTACTCAATATCTTAATCACTTGCTTTTTTCAATGCATCTTGTCCCCTTTAAAATTATTTGCGCCATGAGTAATTTTACTCCTTGACAAACTTCAGTTTTTTCTTTAGTTTCTAACTGTGAGAAGTAGTTTCATACTAAGGGGTGAAGTGTAGTTGCAATTTTTGCTTGATGTAGCATTTTTATGTTTGTTTGAAAGAATATGCTGTTGCATCAGTGACTTAATAGGTATTCATTGGAACACTCTGCATTTCTTTCCAGGGTTTCGCCATTGGTTCAGCAGCCCTGGTGTCCCTTGCTCTCTTTGGTGCCTTTGTGAGCCGTGCTGCTATTTCAACAGTTGATGTATTGACCCCTAAAGTTTTTATTGGTTTGCTTGTTGGGGCAATGCTTCCTTATTGGTTTTCTGCTATGACCATGAAGAGTGTTGGAAGTGCAGCTTTGAAGATGGTTGAGGAAGTGCGCAGACAGTTCAACACAATCCCAGGTCTCATGGAGGGCACTGCTAAGCCTGACTATGCTACCTGTGTTAAGATCTCTACTGATGCCTCCATCAAAGAAATGATCCCACCTGGCGCCCTTGTTATGCTTACACCCCTCGTTGTTGGGATCTTTTTTGGTGTGGAAACTCTCTCTGGTGTCCTCGCTGGATCCCTTGTCTCCGGTGTCCAGGTAATGTTAACAAGCCTTAATATCAGACTTTATGATTTGGAATTGCATGTTAAATTCATAGGATATTGCTTGAGATGTTTCCTACAGAAGGCTCATCTTAAATGTTGTTTCTGCTTGGTAATGTTGGCAGATTGCTATCTCTGCATCCAACACAGGGGGTGCATGGGATAATGCCAAGAAGTATATCGAGGTATTTTTTATTTGACTGATTTCCTATGAGCTACTCTTAGGGTTGACGTTTTAAAAGTAATGATTCTATATTTATGCTTTTGATTTGTTGTGAAATGCAGGCTGGTGCTTCAGAACACGCAAGAGCTCTTGGTCCCAAAGGTTCAGATCCACACAAGGCAGCTGTTATCGGTGACACCATTGGAGACCCTCTAAAGGATACATCTGGGCCATCACTGAACATCCTCATCAAGCTAATGGCTGTTGAATCACTTGTCTTTGCTCCCTTCTTTGCTACACATGGTGGACTGCTTTTTAAGATATTTTAAGAGAAGACAAACATCAGCTAATGGTCCACCGATTTCAGTCCCTGCTGGTTCATCTCTTCTAATTATCCTTTTGAAGTATATCTAGTTTGTAACACATTTTGACTCTAGACTCTAGAGACCTCCATATCCTCTTAATGTCAAATCGGCAGTGAAAATTTTCCCTTGTAAAGGGTTGACAATGACATTGATGATGATGATAGTGGTCAATCTAGGAAAGAGTTAAGATATTGTTGCTATTATTACTTTTTGTTCTATGAAGAGCTTTTTTGTTACACTTCCTCAACTCTGTTTTTTAGCTTTGATATTGCTGTCATGAGGGGTTTTAGGCATAATTTTGGACTATAATGATTAACCCCGCCTTCGAACCCGACCCGTTAACGCCCTCAAGATAGCCATCATTGGCTCTGGCAACTACGGCCAAATCCTATAGCTAAAACTCTAGTCTCTCAAGGCCACAAAGGTTTAGCCAATTCGAGATGCGACTATTCCCATATAGCCAAAAAACTGTGAGTTTCCTTCTTCCTAGAACCCCACGACTTATGTGAACAACACCCAGAAGTTATCCTCCTTTGTACTTCTATTATCTCAACGAACATGCCTTGTAAACTCTTCCTTTACAAAGACTGAAACGATCCACATTGTTTGTCGATGTTTTATCCGTCGAAGAGTTCGCCAAAAATCTCCTCCTTGATGTCTTACCTCGTGATTTCGACATCATTTGTTCACATCCCATGTTCGGGCCTCAAAGCGCCAGAACGAAGCTGGAAAGACCTCTTCTTGTCTACGAAAAGGTTAGAATCGGAAACGAATCTTCCAGGGTTCAAAGATGAGAAGAGTTTCTCAGAATATTTCAAAGATGGAGAGATAAAATGGTGGAAATGAGCTGCCAGAAGCACGACAAGTTCGCCGACACACACACGGTTGGTAGAGTGTTGGACAGGTTGAGGCTGGAGTCAACACCGCTTAATACGAAGGGTTACGAGACTTTGTTGGATTTGGTTGAGAATACTCGGTGGTGATAGCTTTGATTTGTATTATGGGTTGTTCCTGCATAATTCGAGTGCTTTGGAGATGGTGGAGAGGTTGGATTTGGCTTTTGATGCTTTGAGGAATGAACTTTTTGGCAGGTTGCATCAAGTCGTGAGGAAACGGTTGTTTGAGAATAGAGACAAGGGAAAGAGTCCGCAAGAGATCAGTTACCAAAGTGGTGCTCCATTGGCTTCAAACTCAAATGCCTTGAGGTAATTCTTGGATTTACTTTTGTTTTTTTAATTTTTGATTCGATTCAACATGCATGCCATAGCTATCCTTTGAAAGACTAAAGACTTTCCATTTCAATTGAGGATAAATATGAAAAATTATCAAAATTAGAATTTAGAATCTTTCATGGTTTTAGTTGTGCGTTTAACACTTTCCTTTTGATAGTTGTTAATATTAAATTTGTAGAATTTGTTTAAAAGTAGAGATTAATCTTTTTCCAATTTAGTTATTGGAGTAAATGCGGCTTTAGGAACACTTATCAAGATCATGGACTGAGTTGTTAGGAAGGAAGGATTTCAATATCACTTTTCTTCCTTGTCTTGTTTAATTGATCATAGTTAATTCGTAATCCTTGTGAAGTTTATCATAGATCTAGGATTAGCAGACCTCTAAAACTGCTTGGGGGAGAGTAAGTTGGGATTGCTGCAAAATCTATTCGTATAATAAATTTACAGGCTTTTACTGGGACTTTCAGATCTCAACATGTTATTATACCTTACGAATTCAAAGGAAGATATCCAAAGGTGTCGATGACAGTTCAAAGCTCAAGATTGCAATTGTTGGATTTGGAAACTTCGGTCAGTTCCTTGCAAAACCCTGGCTATACTTTATTCTGCTAAACAATAAATTTTACCCCATTAACTTTATCTCTTTCTTTTTTTCTCCTTTTAATTACTATAATTCTGTTTGATATAATATTTTCATATGTATGTATGTGTGTGTATATATTGATATTTATTTGTTTATCTGTCTATCATTCTGATATTGATTTGGCATTGTTTACTTATTCTTGTGAAGGATTTCACTTGATGTTTTTCTACATTATGGCAACTGGGTCTTCCGCAGCTCTCACTGAAATCAGCTGTGAAGAAGGCCTTATTGGTGGTGTGTCAACTGCCAACCTCGTGCTCATCGACATGGCTGCAAACTCAAAGTTTTTATATACTGTGGGAACTGAATGACGCCAACATGAGGTTCTGTTTCTGAATAAATTAGGACAGTGTAGACCAAACAAATAATGAGCACTGAGATGCAGAACGTTAGGGCTAGAGGAATTGTCAGAAGTTGGGATGGGTCTTAGTCACCATAACAATAAAAGAAATGTTGCTGATCTGATTTCAAGTGAGGTATGGCCCCAGGTATGTGATGCTTCACTCCAATTTTTGTTGAATTTATTGGATTACCAGATTCTGAGCTGTTCCTTTGCTTTTCAGAATGACTATATTGTTGTTGTAACAATTGTTTTTTATTTATTTATTCTTTGCAAGGGAGATGTGCGATTGTTTTATTATTTATTTTCTGTAGCAATTGTGGCACTCCAGTTTGTTGATGGTCGGAGCTCCACCAAATAATTTTCCACACCCCATCGTGTTGATTATCATATATAAGAGAAAATGCATTGATTCATTGCTAGTAACTTCATGCATCATTGTCTCAATTTTAGCTGCAAATTGCCATTCTTTCTATTCCTGCTTCTGGATAATCATATGAAGTTACCTTCAAAACAACGCAACGCTAACTGTAGAACTGGTTATTACATTCTTGCAGATGAAGTTCCTCTACAAAAGACCCATAAGCCTTAGATGATCACATGCTCTATGCATGAAGTTTTACTTCCTCAAGTGCTACTTTGCCTTTCTGAAAGCACTCATAGTTGAAAGAAGCATAATTTTTCACATTTCTATATAACCTTGGCCTGTTATCATCTATCAAGCCTTCAACAGGTCCTATCTCCTTCTCTGGCTCTGCCTCATTGAACATTGCCACAGATATCCTCAACTTGTCTGTGTTTGTCACCACCCTGTGTACTGCGCTTTTGAAGATTCCATTACTCATTATCTGCATCAATTAATACAAATTAAACAAATTCTGCACTGCTTTTCCTTTGCAGCTCACTTCTATATTCTAGAGATATTGGATGCAAGTATGCTTCATGTTCTAATTTCTATTTCTTTTGTTTTCTCTTGAAGTCAATGTCATGTTTCTGCTAAAAAAAATCTTACTAATTTCCAGGAACTTAGATGTTTGAAGTTAGATTACAGCAACTCTGCCTTGTGTTTGGTTTATTAGGAGTGAACTAAGGGCAACAGGAGTTGCTCAAACAGTGAATAAAGAGAACCAGATTATTATAGCCAAAATTTCCCCTTTTTCCTGCAGCAAAACTGCAGCTTGTATCCTTAATTATAGTTGATGTAGTAATCTCAAAAGGGTAAAGATGACCAACCAACAAATTTGTCAAGGGAATCTGTTCTCTCCAGAGTCAACAGTGTTCAAAATTATACCTCCAAGTTTAATACATACCTGCATTTGATCACCAAGATTGACAACAAGAGCATGAGGGATGACAGGAACTGTGATCCATCTCCCATCTTTGACAATTTGAAGGCCTTCCACTTCTTCATCTTGCAACAAGACTGTAATACCCGATCTATCTGAATGAGGCTTGACCCCAAGAACCTTGTCTGGTCTTGAACAAGGTGGATAGAAGTTAAACCTCACTTGCATCACTGGATTGTCCCCAAACTGGTCCGAGAAGCTATTCTCTTCTAAGTTGAGTGATTTTGACATGGCCTTAAAGAGAAGATCCATCATTTGCTTTAGCTTGGTGGAATATTCATGCAACATTTCTCTGTAAGAATTCAACTCATAGCTCACAGTTACTCCAGAAAATATAAGTTCTCACTTCTCACAAATCACAAACTATATATAAAACTGCAAAATTCCTTTTCTTTTGTTGATTAACAAATATTTGAGAAACCTGGCTAAAAAACATTTATACCTGAAACTATCTGGGCTTTCAGGCCAGAGATTGATTTTTCTTTGATGTTCAGGAAATACCCTAAGAAACAAGCGACTGTTCCAGTCGAGAACTTGCTTTTCTGAGACTATCAGATCATGGCCATAACCCTCAACTTCATTAACTGCTCTGGAGTACTTCTGCTTCTCTTCCTGTGGAAGTCCAAAAAATTGTTTTGCAACTTCACGGACTTTGTCAATAAATGAACTGGAAATCCCATGGCCAATAGCCTGACACACAACACAGTTTCAAGAGAAAATATGAATTGATTAAGGTTCATGACAGTCAATGGAAATACCTATTTACCATTTAGGGAAAAGAACAACATGAAATTGAAGAATGTAATTTGTATGTACTTTTGAAGATAATGAATACAGAACCTGGAAACATCCCACTGACTCAAGAGCCAATCTTAGTTTTTCCAGTTCATCTTTTGAGGATAGCAGAAGACTAAGATCAATGACCGGAACTGAACCCGATGCAGCGAGATCAGAAGAATATGTGCATCCGAAACTGTTGTCTTTAACATGAAATTCTGGGGGTGGCTCATCCCCGTTCATGGACATCTCTTGAACACTCTTAGGCAATAGAATTCCATCAGACAAAAGCGGCATGTCGGTCATGTTTGCTGTCTAGAAATAAGAATCCTTGGCAGGAGCTTGACAACTGGTTTGGTCATTTGGTGTGATATGCAGGAGTTGTATCATGTTGTGGTTCCTTGAATTTATAGCAAGATGACAAGGAAATAAATTACAGTGTACCCATTTACGTATGTGCTTAGCTGTTAAAAGGCCTGGTGGGGCTAGCCAAAACAACTGAAATAATGTGTCTTCAATAAGTAAAAAATTATTGATTCAGTTTATTTATTTATTGTTTAGACTAATATTGATTATTAATCAATGATATAGTTAAAAAAAAAAAACCATTTTCAGCAATGAGAATCTTAAAAACTCATTTGTATAATAAAAAAAAATACTGATTGAATACTAGTTTAATTGTGCATATTAAAAAATATGTTAAAAATATTGATAATAAAAATAATTATAAAACTTTTAACAATTATGATTGAATATAAAAATTTTAATTTATTATTATTATTATTATTTATAATTTACTATATTTTAATTAAATCTCTACTAAATAAAATTTTTGACTCTGCCAAACATTTACTAATGTGGGTTCATGATGAAGAAAAAGATTAATCCAAGTTATTAGTTCATGGGTTTTGTTTGCAATAATTGGAAAGATAGATAAGCCGGTTGGTTCGGCTTCGTAATAGAGCAATTTTGTAGATACGACATGATTTATTTGCGTTTCTTTCTAAACCAACAAAGAATTAATTATCTAGTATTTTCATATCAAGTTTATTCATTGTTGAACTTACACAAATGAACAGGTAACCAATAGTAACCTGGATATGACTCAACAGAAGCAACTAAAATATCAAAGTACAACCCACTTCGAAAACATCACAAAGACACACAAAACATAGCTTTGAAAGAAAAAGAGCATTGGTCCGGCCGTTGTTGAATAGATGATGAGCTTTGACAGAGAGCGATCATGGCACAGTTCTAAACAAAAAATATGTACTATTTTATCAGCTATTCTCAATTTTAATATTTGGAGAAAACTTCATAATGTCGGCACCATGTCCCAAAAAAACATGTCCCAAAAAAACCAATTTGATGATAAGATCCACACTTAACGGCCATGGATCAAACAAAAATTTAGCTTATTCTTGTGTCCCTACCATTCGACTATGTAGCTTAAATTAAATTTGCTTTATATACATACATATATATATATATATATATATATCAAATAGCAAACAGCAAACTTCGGTGTTAATTGCTGATTTGACTTGGTGAATAAACTTCAGTTTCCACTTACCGGTATGTTGTTTCATCAGGCCACACAGGCTAGTACAAAAGCCCCAAGACATCATTAAGCAATCCTAGTCTTGGATGCAGGTAACAATGTCAAGTTCTACAGTACAAATGGGAATGAAAGCTAATCCACGATGCAATAATACGTATCATAACCACCTGTAACGTTACAAATGCCAGAAATAAGGTTCTTTCAGAACAAAGGATGGAATTTTCTACTCTATGCAAACAAACAAGCTGAATTCTCCTTCCCTGCTAAAAGTTTCTCATCCAGAGGAAAAAAAGGAGAAACAATACAAAATCTAATGGACTATTATTAGTTTTACTTCCTCTTCTTAGAAGGTGGCTGAGGAACCTCATCATCCTCATCGTCTTCGTCCTCCTCTTCTTCATCCTCCCCATTCTTGTCTTCTTCGTCCTCCTCTTCTTCATCGTCATCATCATCCTCTTCATCACTGCCTCCCTCCCCATTGGCCTCAGGATCATCCTCGGGATCCCCTTCCTCACCTTCTTCAGCTGAGAAATCCTCATCTCCATCATCATCATCTTGATCATCTGCTTTGTCATCCTCTTCATCTTCGTCATCATCCTCTGTATCACTGGCATCTTTGTTTTCTGGACCAGGATGCTTCATTTTTAGAAGTTCATCAAATGGAAACCTGAAAAAGAAGTCAATATCAACAGCCTGTCAGATTTCCTCTTACCAACCATTAATGGTAAATTAAGATGAAAAAGAAAAGAAATCTCATTACCTCTCGTCCACTGCAGTCAAATTAAGTGATGCATTCATATCATTCACAACTGATCCTGTCTGCGACAACAATATTAAATCATGTTAGAAAGGATCTTGAGCAAAATACATACAACAAACAAATAAATGATGTACGCTTCCCGTAGACAACAAGCTTCTATTCTATGTGCATTTAACAATGCTACAGAGCAACAATAATTGGTTTCCCTCATCAATTCAAGTCCATCATATGATGAATATTAACACTCCGAACATAATTAAGAAAAGAGAAGCAAGTGGAAGGACAAGTGGACTGTGGACATTGCTGCAGATAGGGAGGAGCAACAATTAACCAACTCAGTATAACACTTGTCTGCAAGCCAGCCTTTCTAAATGGTGACATGTTAAAAACTTCTTTCAAATGATTATGTTCATCAAAGAAAGATAAATGGAGAATTTGCAAATCAAGTCTGCAAAACCCTGATGCCATGAATCAAGACCCTAAAAAAATCCTTAGCTAAAAAGGCAAACTAGACACACTTTTCATTTTAAAAACAGCAGAGAAAATTTTGACCCAGGGCCCCCAAGTTCGCAGTCCTGTATTGAATGATAATAGAAGGCAATCTTACCCAATCAACTTGTTCCCTAATGTTCTAAGACCAAAGTTTCTCTGATAATTGGTAGTACATATTGAAACTCAATATAAATGTTACTGTATTGGCATAAACAGCAACCAAGACAGAAAATATCCCAAGCACTAGAAGGTGCAGGGAAATGTCCTTTCAAGGTCTGAAACCAATCAAAGTGGTGTAGAAGGATTCAGGTGTTTTATGCTGAATCCAACTAAAAAACAAAAGTTGTAAGGCCTCTCAGGCAGCAAGTTAAAGAATCTGTAGCCAACAGCATACATTAGAATAGAGAAGGCATTGTTGATAGCAAACAACAACATTACAACAAACTGCATATTATTTTCTAGTAAGAAGAAGATTCTAATCATATTAATCATCATACGAAAACGTAAACTAATCTTATTATGGACAAAAATCTCAATTACTCCGACACCATTTCAGGTTAAGTACAAGTTTCAGACAACAAAAGCATACTTCAACACAATAAACTCAAGTAAAAAGGTGAAAACAAGTGGAAATCCTCCACAAACGCCACTTCTTAAATCTTAGTAAGAGGAAAACTTGACATCAACAGTCAGTCCACACAATTACGGTAGCAAAAAGCAAAGCTTGCCCTTAAACAACCACCACCAATGTACAAATTTATAAAAATAAAGATTTTAACAGTTTGGCAGCTCACAATAGCCTCAACCAAGACAAGAGAGGGTCAACCACCAAAACTCAGTAAAAAAATGGGGCAAGAAGAAAACTATACAAGCAGCAAAAAACTTATGGCACATAATTATGGTTTTTCTGAGACAAAACCCAAAAAGCAGAACACTGCATATGAAGCAAACAACATAACGTAGAATTATATAAAAAAAAAAACTTTACAAAGAAGAGAGTATATATACCAGCATGAGAAGGCAAGAAAGAGACTTTCCCGCGAGAACCAAAGTCTCAGCCACCAAAGCTTCCATTACAGAGCATACCCAGATGCTCTTTTCATCTGGGCTGAAACTACCCACATCCATTGCCGCCTTAACTATGCTAAAAAAAATTTACACTTTCTACAGAAAAAAATAAAATCAGTGAATAAGAAGCAAAGACTTTGAAAAAAGAGTGAAGATACAGAGAGCAAGAGATAGACCTGAGCAGAGTGGTTTGGGTCTGGGTCCGGTTAGGGTAAACCCTGGGGCTTGATCCAGATTAGGGTTTTGGCTGCCAAATGGAATTACCGAAGGTTGATTTTGGGACTTCCAAGAAAGATGAAAGGAAATTATTGGATGAAAAGAGGAAAAGTGGAGTGGAAGCAAGAGAAATGGGTTTGAAAATAGCAGTTTTTTTTAAAAAAATATTTTTTTTACTTGTCGCCTTGGAGTTGGGATCAGCGGTGTGATAATTAAAGTCTAATCGAATCGAATCGAAATGATATAGTGAAAAATTTGAATTTAAGCTCGATATTTAACTTATAATTTGATATTTAATTTGAATTCGATTAAATTTTATTTTTATTAATTTAAATTTAATTTGTGATTGAAATTGAATTATTTAAACTTGTTCGATCAAGCTTGATAATATATAAAAATAAATTCAATTCATTTACTCAATAAAATTTGATTATTTGTGTTCAAATTCGAACTAAAATTTATAATATTTTATTAATTACAATAATAAAAATATATTTAAATATAAAAATTCGATTAAATTCGTGAGTTATTTGAATTAAGTATAAAATATTCAAACTTAACTCAATTGATGAATTAAATTATTTAAACTCAAATTTAACTTGATAATAATTAAATCGAATTTAAATTTTATTTAAATTAAATTCGAATAACTTACGAATTTTAATATATAATTTATATATATAGTAAGAACAAATTCGACGTCAAATTTGAGGGGGGGGGGAGGAAATCACGTGGTACCGGGACCAAGTGTAACTTGATGGAACTGTCCAATGGGGCTTCTGTTTTGTGTGTTTTGTGTTGTTCGATTGGTTGAGTCAACTGGAATTAATGGGATTAGAAGTACAAAATTATGCTTTGTTTTTTTTTTTTTTTCTTTTCACTCCAACATAGACAAAAGAAAACCCGGCTCTCTTGGTTAAGACTGGGCCTCATGGACTGGACCAATCTAGTCCAAGTTCGCTTATATAATGGGCTTTGGTCAGGCCCAATTTTCAGCTTCATTAGCTAACCCTAAAAATATGTATTGTTGACTGCAATCAAGGCCCGACCGGATTATTAAACATAGCAGAATCCAGTTAATTCCGACGAATAATCGGTTAGGCAAAGGTGGCTTTTGCTTCGGCTTGGCTTCGGCCTCATCAATCAACGCGGCACGGACGCCAAAGCGCAGCCACCGTCCCAAACCCAGCTCTCTCCCTTTCTTTCCACGAAAAAACCTAAACGCCGCCACAATTTCATTGAAAAAAATTATTATCAAGAAACAAAGTCAGCCCTATATTATTAAAAAGGAAAAAAATTGTTTTTAGTTTTTTTTTTTGGTTGTTGGGTTTTTTGAGATATGTCGTCGGAGATCGAGGTAGTGGAAGAGGTCCAACCCTTGAAGCAATCGGGTGGCGTTGTAGCGAATGGGAATGGATATGGGGAAGGGTATAATGGGGTTGTTGGTGATGTTGCTGATGATGAGAGCTTGAGGAACGATGTCTACACCGCTGCTGCATATGGGGATTTGGAGAAGCTCCATAGGTTGGTTGGGTACGAGGGTTACTCTCTTTCCGAGCCTGATGGCCTTGGTTACCATGCCCTCCAGTGGGCTGCTTTGAATAATAGAACCGCCGCTGCCCAGTACATCATCGAGGTTTTTATTTTTTATTTTTTTTGTGGTTGTTTTGATGGATTTGCTGAATTGGCTTTCTTGTCAGAATTAGGAATTTTCTTTTTGAAAATTTGAGTTTGGAGCGTATTGGATTTATTGAACTGTTATTTGGTATCTAATTTATGTAATTTGTTTTCTTTAGAAGGTTTAATGGGTTTACTGAACTGGATTTTTGGAATACATGCTTTTGAGTTTTGGAAATGATTTTTAGAGTTGTTTGGATTTTAAGGTTTACTTGTGACATGTAGGTCTTGAAGTTTGCATTGGATTAAATTCGGTTTAACTGAGTAGTTTTTGGGTTGTCTTGATTTGCTAGCATGGTGGAGATGTACATGCGACAGATCACAATGGGCAGACGGCCTTGCACTGGAGTGCGGTCCGGGGTGCAATACAAGTTGCTGAGGTTTTACTCCAAGAGGGTGCTCGGGTGGATGCTGCTGACATTTATGGCTATCAGGTTAGTTTTATTCAATGTGGTGTCTTTTACTATATTCTTTCTTATTCAAGAAATTAGTGTCTATATGGATTTGGGACAGTGATCAGTGGTGTAAATTAATGTTTAAACAATGCTAGCTGTTTTAGACATTCCTCTCCTTTTCGAGTTGGTTTATATCTGCATAGACATTGTTTATATATATATTTTTAGGAGCATTAGAACTCAGCAATATATGGTTTCTATAAAACGAGTAGATCATATTGATGTTTTGAGGTTTAAAGAAGATATATTTTTGCTTTGCATTTTAGCGAAGGCTATCTGTGCAGCTGGAGATGATATTCATTACCTAATTCTCCTACTTGTCTTGGACCACAAAGACAGCCGGAAATAATAGCATAGCATCTCATTCTATTCTTTCTTGTTTACTCTGGCTTTCTAACATACTAAGATCCCCTTATAAATATATATATTTTTGCAGTTGTTCTATGCCGCTGTTGCTGATACACTTTTTTTTCTTTTTTCTTTTTTTGTTTGTCTGTCAGTCTAGAACATGAGGGTTAGTTTCAACTTCTTAATTTAATGCTCAAACTTTATTGTTACATTTTGTGTTTTACAATTTAATTGTGGGATAATAATCGAATTAATGTATTTCTTTCTTTTATTTCAACCTCCAGATGGGTGCATACTTATTTATTGTAATTTGATGCAGATAATACATGTTGCTGCCCAATATGGCCAGACTGCTTTTCTCTATCATGTTGTTTCAAAATGGAATGCTGACCCTGATATTCCTGATAATGACGGGCGAAGCCCTTTGCACTGGTACATGAGGAATTCTACATAGACTTTACTCTTATTCATTTGAATGGTCTAGGATAAAGCACTTTGTTGCCACTGATTTTTTTTGTATTTAGGTATCTATATCTTTTGTTTCTTATTTGTGAGGGTTGATTATTTTCCTTGTATAGCATTAGCATCACTTTGTTATCTTCCTTCATTATGTTGCTACTTCAAATTTCTTTTTAACCAAATGTGGAACTTTTTCTTTTGTCCTGTAAAAAATATTTTTGATGCATTTGCTGGTGAGTAAGACTACTTTTTAAATACCCTGTATCTGTGATTATTACACAGTTTTCAATTGGTGATTTTATGATGCCTAGTGATGATAGTAATAAGCTCCTGCAAAGTGCTTGGCTTTTGTAAATCTATTTACAATTTTATGATCAGAATTTAACCTACATGTGTAATTTTTATCATAGTTGTTTTTATTCTGAAAATGTCAAATAGTTTTTAGATTTGTGTTCAACTTTCCTTCTGTGAAATCTCTCTTTCATTTTTTAAATTAAATTTAACTAGTTTGCTTAATATTCTGATTATTTGTTTTTCCTACTAATTGCTTGATTGTGTAATGAATTTTACAAGTGTCAGGTCTGTTATTTTAAGTCTAACTTTCCTTTCAATATGGGTAACACTAGGGCCGCTTATAAAGGTTTTGCCGATTGCATACGTCTTCTCTTATTTCTTGATGCACATAGAGGGCGTCAGGACAAAGAGGGTAATTTTCTGATTCTCAGATTTAAATTGCCATTTTTAGGGAATTTCATCTGGTTTGTCTACTGCAAATAATTTGTACTTGTGAAGTATATGATTTGATGCATAACTTTGCTCAGTTAACCATGATTCATCTTTACATCAGGTTGCACTCCTCTCCATTGGGCGGCTATTAGGGGTAATCTAGAAGCTTGCACAGTCTTAGTTCAGGCTGGCAAGAAGGAGGACTTGATGGTCACTGATAATGGTGGCCTTACACCTGCACAGCTTGCTTCTGATAAAAATCACAGACAAGTTGCTTTTTTCCTTGTAGGTTCCATATCATTTTAACTTGGTTCATGATTGTTCTTTGATGAATAGTTCTTTATATATTCATTTGTTTTGTTTTCAATCTTACACAGTTTAAGCTCTTTATTGTTAGCGTTGACTGATGAATGACTTGGGCTGAATGAAAGACATTTGTTGCTTCCTCTTCTGCCTCGCATAAAGATTGTCGGTTTAATTATTGATAAGAATACAAATAAAAAGAATACTTCATAAACATTATGCAAAGGTCCAAAAAAATGTATATTTTATCCATTTTCATTTTCTGGGAACTCCTTAAATGGTTGATGCCTTATGCATTCGTAAACTCAAAATATTCTTCCCTATGTTTATGCTGCATTCAGGTTTATGAAGCTGGGAATTCTCAAATAACTAGTATTTTTCTTGTTGGATAGTCCAACCTTTTACCTTTCCTTGTATAGATGCAACATGATTGCACATTTTGTGACTTCACTATTAGAAATGTTGTGGCACTTATAGTTGATTTTGATTGGTCTTGTTGTCTCTAAAAAGTTGTAAAATTTCTCTGTGGGTGGCTTAATTTGTCTCCTAGCTGTTCTCTTTTAATTGTTAAGATGATATGCTTATGAAATCAGCTTAGTTTTGGCCCCACCTGTTAATGTTTCTTATACACCTGCTTTTGCAGGGAAATGCTAGAAGGTTGCTTGAAAATCGATGTGATGGGAACAGCAGTCTTGGACTACTTTCAAAATTAAGACTTGCACCCGTTCTTGGGTGCATTATCTTTCTACTACTAGTGACCTATACACAATCTGTCATAATGGGTGTGTCTCTTTGATCTCATAATGAAAGTTAATTGTGCCATACCATCAAGACAGTACCTGTCTCTGTCTCTTTATTACCTATTTATTTGTGACTTTGGACATTTGTTGCAGCATCAAACCTGCCAAAGTTGACAGCTGGGTTTGGCCTTCTTGCATGGTTGGGTGTTTTCCTAGCATCCTCTGGTTTGGTTATGTTTTATAGATGTAGCAGGTATATTCTTTGATGTGGACCTTTTTTTTTTTCAAAAAGTCTGTTAGGTTATTATGGCACTGAACACATTGTGTTGTACACTGCTTAGCTGTCTGTTCATCAGTTTGTTAGATGCGATTAGTTTCAAGCATCTAGTAATTAGATTCTTGATGTTTTCCCATGTTTATTTATGTTGGAAGGTGGGGAATCTCTTTTTGAATGGGTGGTTTACGGTGGCAGTGAATTATTATATTCTTCAGGAGATAGTATATTGATGCATACTCAAAGATTTATGAGGGCAGTGCCTATGAATCTAAAATATAATACAAGATAATTATCAAAATTGAAGTACATTTTGTCGTTCATTTTTTTTTTTTTTTGGTTTTTCCAGATTTAATGTCAGGTAGTTCTCTGTGGGAGAAGGGGGGCTGGGTGTATATTTTGCCTGGCTTTGCTCTAGGTCACTACTGTTGCATGTATTTGCTAGCAATCAGATTCATTGAAGAGCGTACTTATCTGGTTGTTTTTCATTTTAAATTTATTTGCAGCAAGGATCCCGGTTACATCAGGATGAATGTCTATGATCCTCAAACTATGAAGGATGACGTGCGTTCGATTTTTCCTTATAAAGCCTATATGGTTTTTTGTTTGATTTGCTAATCTTTTGTCTTCCTGAAATTTAATTGCTGTCTTCTTCAAATCCTGTTTATATCTTTTCCTTTAAATGATTGATTTAGTTTCTCACTATATAATATTTTATCCTGTATATTCTGTTAGGAACCCTTATTGAAGATTGAGATAAATAATCCTGCTTTGCTAGCTGGAAACTGGTCTCAGCTTTGTGCAACATGCAAGGTGCTTGCTAATGTAGCCTTTATTGCTTAGATGTTACTCATTTGATAATTTCTGCTTATTCTGATTGTTTTTCTATGTTATTTTATAACATCATCAGATTGTCAGGCCTCTTCGTGCAAAACACTGCTCCACTTGTGATCGTTGCGTTGAACAATTTGACCATCATTGCCCTTGGGTATCAAATTGTGTTGGCAAGGTGCTTTGTTGCTGATGCGTTAAATTTTTTTCCTCTGTTATTACTTTAATGTTTCATTTGTTGCATGTTTAACATCCTGTACTTCAATAATACAATTAAATTAGGGGAATTGAATGCTCTTATACATGACTTTGCACTTCAAAAATATAGACAAATATAGGTGATGTGTGGTTGCTTGTTGGTTTCAATTATGTTTATAGGTCAATTTTCCTATGTGGAAAGAGAGTAATATTTAATTATTTGAAGAGTAGTCATGGTATCTGTTGATTAATTTCATTTAGGTATCTTATGATGCAGAAAAACAAATGGGATTTTTTTATTTTCCTAGTTTTAGAAGTTTCAGCAATGTTGATTACTGGTGGAGTTGCTATGACAAGTATGTCTTTTAATCAGTTCCAAGTTCAAACTATTTGCCAAAGTTAGCAAAAATTTTCCATCCTGAATGTCCTACAAATGTGTTTTTGTCATATACAGGAATCTTGATGGATCCAACGGCTCCATCTTCATTTTTTCCATGGATAAACCATGCTAGTACTCATCATACTGGTGCTGTATCATTTTTGATTGTGGATTTTTTCCTCTTCTTTGGTGTGGCAACATTAACTTTTGTACAGGCTTCTCAGGTATGACTCAAGATTTTGCGATCTCTAGTTGTCTTTATTTTTTTTTTTACTTACTTTTTATGGTTATGACCTGGACCGCAATTGAAAAAATGTGTGCTTCCCAATTCTCTTACTTTTAGGTTTAATCGGATGCACTGTTGAGATTTTGGGTAAATTTGTCATCCTAAACAAGATTAGGTGTGGTAACATAATAAATGCAAGTTTAAGCTGCTTCATTATATATCTTAAACTAACTGTTTATTAGTGATCATGGATTGAGTGAATGTGTCCTTGCTTACGTTGTAACTCTTGAGGGATTGTTTAAAATGATCTTCTACCTTCATCATGCCAACTATATTTGAGTTTCACAACCACCACATATTATTGCAGCTATGATATTTACAATTCAGGCATGTTTATCCAAGGTTAAATCTCAAGTCAACCATCTGCAATTCATATAGCCTTTGATATTTCCTTGACACACCATTTTTTGGGACTTAATCGGGACTTTTGCCTCTGCACATGCTTGCACAGTTTCGTTTGCATGTTTGTGTGGTTTTCTTACGCCATGACAACCTTCTCTCTTCTTTGGGTAACTGTCATGTTGTTTGTAGCAACTGTTATGGTGCTTGTGGTTTAGGTCCTATAATAATGTTTCATATCTAACGTATTTGTATAGAACATGAATAATATCTCTTGCTGCAGATTTCTCGCAATATAACAACAAATGAAATGGCAAATGTCATGCGCTATAGCTACCTCAGGGGTGCTGGTGGTCGATTTAGAAACCCATATGATCATGGGTGCCGGAAGAACTGCACAGATTTCCTGATCAATGGCTACAATGAAGATATACCGGCTAGTGAAGATTCAGCACATTCTGAAGGAATTAGCATGGTACAAATGCCAAGAGAAAATGGTGATTTGCAAGGTCTCGCAAACGGAAATGGCCATATCGCCATAAATGTCAGTTCGAGCAACACCAAAGCACACCATGGCCATGTTCATTCTTCCCACTGCAGCCATAGTAACCATAGCAAGTCAAAAACTGAGAGCGTGCCTTCAAGATTGGGTCTTGGTCTCGGACGAAGTAGCCCCCATGCCGCCGCAACCTCGTGATATTCGTATACAGAATAAGTTGAAACAGATGTGCATTGTATCAAAAGCATACATTCGGTTTCGGCTTTTTGTTGATCTATTGCGTGCCCCCTTTTTTTTTCCATGTTTATGGGTGCGCAATTCTTTCAAATTGTCTCATTTTTGTATTGTTTTATAAGTATGTGGCTTTAGATTTGGTGTGCTTGAAAGTGGAAAGAAACCCGTTTGGGGTTTAATTGAAACAATGTAAATAGCTTCCTTTGATAACACGAAAACGACGACATTATTTTTACGACGACATAATAATAATCCAACTCGGGTCTAGTTTAAGGTATGTCTAGTTCAAGGTATTAAAAGGAAAACAAAACAAACAAAACGACGGCGTTTTACACCATGGGTATTACTAGAAGGACTAAAAAATAATATTAATAAAAAAATAGTAATTTCTCTATACCGTCTGCTGGATAAAGGAGAAAGGACGGGGACAAAGTGGGCCTACATTTCCCTGTCCTTCTTATCTCATACATTACAGCCTCTCCTAGTCAATCGCCTTTCGCCACGTGCCACGCATCAAACGGCTTCAACTAACCTCACTTCCCCTGCTTTCTTGCTGTATCAGTTTTAATATTCTTCTCTCACTTCCTTTATATCTTTTTTTTTTTTTTCTATAAATGATTATTTTTTTCATTCCGATTCTGATCAGATAATGATATCTCTGTTATTAAGGTATTCCCTTCTTTTTTTTTTTTTTCTTTTTTTTGGTTTGGGTTTTGCATATAAATGTTATTCGATAGTTTGATCATTATTTCGAGATTTTTTTTTTCGTCCTCTGTTTGTTTAATTCCTTAAAAAAAAAGTGAAATTTGATATCCCGGATTCCTTTTTCCTTTGTTTTCTAAAACATGAGAATTCAAACTATCCTTAGCTCTCTTTTAAGTATTTTTTTTTAGAAGTCCTTTTTTTTTTCTTTAGTAGTATTGCTTTGAAATTTTTAATTTTTACAAGCTGTTTTTGTTAGTGATAGAGTATATAGCTAAATAGAATGTAAAGAGCTTACTGATCATCGTTTCATATATATATATATATATTTACATGTATTTGCATTTATTAATGTTTTATTCTTTAATGAGGGAGGTTTATGCGTTATCCTTTAAATGGGGTTTTGAATATTTCCTCTGTTTCTTCTTCTTTTGCTTCTTTGCTTTATAAGTTTTGGTATGTTGGCTTGTTTGGGATGCAAGTTATGAATCAGATGCAGCTTACGTTGTCATTTAAACCCTGAATGTTTTGTTTCTGAGGCTCTTTATTTTTGGGTTGCTGGCATTGGATGAAGTATTCACTTAACTATTCTTAAGTTTGATTACAGGAGCTTCTCTGTAATTGATGCTTTCAATGGCTCTGATTTTGATTTTGATTTTGAAGAATTCTTGACTCTGCTTTTGTTTACCTAATAGAATGTTTTAATAAGAGCCAATAAGTGTTCTACGCATTCATTATGCTTGGGATGAATGCTGCTAGCATTGATTTATATATGAGTTCTATATCATTTTAGTGATAGAATGATAGATGGTGACCTTTTTGTTAGCCTTTTCGTTTTGCAATTGTAGTACTCTTTAAAGAGCTGACTCTGTCATGCTGTTGCTTCTGTCCAGTTGTGTTGGAGGGTGAAGAAGCTGAGTTTAGACTTTAGACCATGTTTGTGGTTCTATAATGGGGAGTAAATTGGTTTTTCTTCTTGCTTCATGATATTAATTGATAATTTATTAGACTATCAATCAAATGGGGGGAGTGTGTTCAAGGAAGAGAGACCAACTGATCGTTGAAGATGGAATGCGAAGAGGGGTGTCTGGAAGGTATGGGAAAAGTGGTAGTTCAAAGTGGCTTGTAACCTCCTTTTCACGGCCCATGGTGGTTCAACAGCCTGGTGTGGCCATTTGCCCATCTCTCCTGGAATTATGCATTGATAAAATATGCGAAGTATGTCTATCATGTTGGCATGTTTCTCAGATGATTGTTTTCTTTGTTTTTTCTGATATTATATACTGTTACTCTCACAGGACATAGACCGGTATAGTTCATTGGCAATGCTGCCAAAGGATATAAGTCAACAAATTTTCAAAAAATTGGTTTTATCCCATCATCTTACTGATGTTTTTCTTCAAAAGTTTCGTGATTGTGGTCTTGAGGTGATTTTTCCCTGAGTGGTTTAAGCATGGTGCACCTTTTAATTTTTTATGTCTTCATAGATGATGTTGTTTACCATATTTATATCTTGCATTGACAGGATGTTTGGTTGGGTGAATATCCCAGAGTGCAGGATAGTTGGATGGATGTCATCTCTTCTCAAGGGACATCATTACTTTCTGTTGATCTTTCTGGTTCTGATGTAACAGATTCTGGGCTGGGTCTCCTAAAAGAGTGCTTGAGCCTCCAAGCCTTAACTTTGAACCATTGTGAAAACATTTCAGCAATGGGGCTGAAGCATATTAGTGGTAATTTTCTATTGCTTTATTTTATACCTTGGTTACCGTAGGGCTGAATCTATAGTTTGTCATCTGATTCTACTGACATGACACCAGCTATGCTAGGGCTGATGATTGGCTTTATGCTTTTGTCAGCATTGTATGACATTATCTTGAACTGCATTGTCAACACTTTTGATGGATTGCCAGGATTAGTGATTTTAGCCTTATTTGAAATTTGCTACAATGTGCTGTTAAATAAAGAAAATCATTTGTAACCATTTTCATTTTCTGGAATTTTGCTCTATTCTACCTTCACATATTGCTAATAAAGAATTACAATTCTTTCGAAAGTGAAGATGAAATATGTTTCTCTTGTTATTTGTTCTCTGTAGTGGATCAATGATACTGAATAACTGGGGCAAGAATTTTCAAGGTTGTCTTTTTGGTAGGATTTTTGCCAGTTTTATTTAGTCGATTCATATTTCTTAGAAACAAAAACCTAAAATAACAAGATGTCATGCTTCCTGGATAGTGTTTGAAAACTGTTAATTATCTATTAAATGTCTTGAAAACATTATAAAAACTATATATAAAACTTTGTTTACCATCCATTGTTAGACATTTTATTGCTGTATAATCTATCTTGTGCATAGTATAATAAAATCTTATATAGTAGTGCCTTTCTGTGATTAGGATATCAATGCAATAGTTATTTGGATCAGCTTGCTGTTTGACATTGTTTCCGTGCTGTTCATGGGCATTATGTCCCTTGATCTTTTAGGTCTAATGAACTTGACATCCTTGAGTTTTAAAAAGAGCGATGCAATTACTGCTGAAGGAATGCGTGCATTTTCCAGCTTAGTTAACCTGGAAAAGTTGGATCTGGAGAGGTGCTCGGGAATTCATGGCGGATTTGTGCATCTTAAAGGTTTGTTGTGAATGAATAAATTTTCGATGACAATTTAGAATGCTTGTGTTGTGATGAACTTTTAAACTTGCACTGTAAATTTTCCCACTTTAAAAAATGTTCTGTTAGTAACAATTATGGAATTTTCAGTTGGGATTCCTATATTAGCAAGTTAGTGCAACATCTTTTCCAGTCCTTTTCTTTAATTCTTTTCCTCAGAAGCTTTATCAGTTTTACCCATTGTCGTCTTTTTCAGGTTTATCTAAACTTGAGTGTCTTAATATCAGATGCTGTAAATGCATTACAGACATGGACTTGAAGGCTATTTCAGGTAATTTTGACAATTTTTTTGGGCTAATTGAAGACTGCTATTTTTATACATCGGGTACTTTTTTTTCACAACAGCGGATCAAGCTGACATGAATTGTCATCATTGCATGCTGTCATCAGATGGTTGTCACTGTATTCACAATTATTATTTGTTAATATCAAGTGAGATTTATCACATATAACTGACAACTTTTCAACGTCCAAGAAGGGCAATAGATTCCAGAATTTTTTTGTATAGCTTTACATGTTTCTTTTATTTCAGGGCTTAATAATCTGAAGGAGTTGCAAATATCAAACAGTAACATTACAGATTTTGGACTGTCTTACTTGAGAGGTATTTATCTACCTGCACCTTTTGCATGTTAGTATACTAACAGAACAAACTATTGTCCTTTGTGCTATGTAAAAGGATAGGACTTCTCTTTGTTTAAATTCATTGTTCTTGCTTTCAGTTCCTTATTCATTGATTGTTACATGATTAATTCTGCTTATCTGTTCTATTTCTAGCTTTTGTTTTCCATCATGGCACTTTAGGGGTGAGTTTTTCCCTTTTATGTCATCATCTTCATCGTCTCCTAGTAATGACATCTTAATCTTCTTTGCTGTGGTGTCAGTTACGTACTTATTAGAACTAATAATCTATCTTCTTAATAAGACCAGTTGACCTCAAGAATTTAACAACTTTAACCTATGTTATGTGTTAATATAATTGTCCATGGCAGGTTTGCGCAAGCTTATCATGTTGGATCTGGAAGGATGTAAACTTACCGCTGCATGCTTGGATTCCATCTCAGGTGCATTTTCTTATTAGTAGCCTTTTCAGTGATACCTATAATTGTACAATTACTTGCTGCTATACATTGAAATTGGTTGTACCTTCAAACGTAACCATGTGTGGTTTGTGTGGCAAATTGGTTAGCGGATGTAATGTCTTATAGTTTGGAGATTATGTGGACGAGGATAAACTCTCTAGCATTATCATGCAGTAGAAGATCAACTATACCATATTGCAACAAACAATGAATTTTTAACAAGTTCATGGAGTTTGGTAAAGTGAATACATTGAGCTATTACTGAATTTCCTGGAAGTATAATAATTTTCATATGTTATGCAATTATCTTGTAATTTTTTCCTGCCTATGAAGCAGGGATTGGGATTGGAATCGTTTATTCAATTAGATACCAGAGGACGTATATCATGTTCAGTTCATTAAAGAAATTATTTATTCTATCTGCAGCTCTTGTTGCTTTGGCATACTTAAATCTTGGAAGATGTGGCCTAACTGATGATGGATGTGACAAGTTTTCTGGTGAGTTGTAGTTGATATCTTTTAGCCCTTTGTTGTATTGAATAATCACATAGAACGATTGCATGGCTAAGTATAGTTAGTAATATTTACACTATTTACCACTCATTTGCAGGACTTAAGAATTTGAAGGTATTGAACCTGCCATTTAACAATATAACAGATGCATGTTTAGCGCACCTAAAAGGTTCTCTCTCTTTCCCCTTTGTTACTGCATTGTGGTCCGTTAGTTTAACTTTTACTGGGAGTGGACCATTTGCATTCTTTCTTTGCATTGAACAACTTCTAGAGGGCAGTGCAAGTTAATGAATTTTACTAGGTTAGCTCAGTAAATTGCACCGTTGCTTTCCATAAATCATGACAATTGTAAGACCTTACTATTGTTAAAGTTAGTGGCTATTGATTTGTATTTCAGACCTACAACAACAACAACAAAAAACTAAGCCTTATATCCCACAACTTTGAAGTCGGTTGTATGAAAGGCCAAAAAAAAGGAATCATGTTACGTCATAGTTTTGAATTTTCTCGCACCACTCATTTCTATAAAAAACAGCCTTTTCATCTACTTCCTTAAGTCTAATATCATCTCTTATTACTTGCATCCATGTCTTTCGTGGTCTACCTCTAGAAGCTTTGGTCACCCCAAATCCAAAAGCTCATTTCTTCTAATTGGTGCACAGATAGGCCTACATTTCAGACTTTATTCAGAAAAAAGTTATGATCTAACTATAATAATGATATTTGCAACCTCATGCTTTCAATTTTGACAAATATTATGCTGTTCACTTGAGAACACAAGATGATAGTTAATAATTTTGACACAAAGATTGTCTGAGGCGACCTTCACTTACAGATAGTGGTTTCAATGCATCACTGAAGGTTTAAAAAGTCTGATAATGCTATGATAACTGATTTCTGGTTCATTTTCTGTATGTGATTGGTTGACTATCAAAAAAGATACTCGTCCTAATAATTTTTCTTGCAGTTCTACTGTGAAATAAAGAACCTTTGGTCCAATGAGTGGACAATTTTCATTCTTATTCCATATTTTTTTATGCTTTCCCTTATGTACTCATGCTTGTTTGCAGTTTATTGTTGATAAGAATTTGAATAAATGAGACCATTGATCCTTTGGTTTATTTTACATTTGATTCTGGTCTCTTGTTTATTTGAAATGGTGATAAGTTTGTTTGATATGGTATATCTTTCTTTGCAGGATTAACAAAGTTGGAGAGCCTGAATTTAGATTCATGTAAAATTGGTGATGAAGGCCTTGCTAATTTGATAGGTTTCTATATCATGTTTCATTTTGCTGCTAGTTAAACTGTTATGTTGGGAGGATCTCTGTTTGCTTTAAACATTTTCGTGACCTAGTTTATCTTGTGATTTGCTCTTCAGGCCTTTCACTTCTCAAAAGTCTAGAGTTGTCTGATACTGAAGTTGGAAGCAGTGGGCTCCGATACCTCTCTGGTTAGTAATCTATCTCTTATCATCTTGCTTGTGTGTGATATGACCAGTTTTGAACCCTTGATATTAGCTATAAGCATGACACAATTTCAGTGATACTTTTAGAAACCTATCTTCCCGTTAGCCCGCTCTTACCTATAAAATTGTTCACAGATTTTGTTAAGTTGCTTTTCTTTGAGGAATCATCTTTTTTATTGAGTTAACAAGTTCTCTTAATTCAGTTGTTATATACATTTGAAATGGTTATTTTACCTGGATTTCTTTGACTTATTGCTCCATTTCTGTTTCCTTCTGTATATGATGATGTGTTGGAGAAAAGAGAAACATTTGATACTTTCAGTTCTTCCATATATACGTTTTTTCATTTGTTTCTGAAATTTTATTTATGCCTTACACATTGACACTGGATGTCGGCTGAATATATATTAATGAATAGAATGTATTACAGAATTCACGGCAATCATATTGTTATAGTGTTTGCTTCATCAATGACCTAACAAGGCAAAGCAACAAAGCTTTAAGATTAGGGTTGTGGTGTTATAAACCATCTATTATGATCCTTGCCCTTTTCCACATGGTTCTTTATTAAATTATATGTTCTTGGTTTCAATTTTTTCTGAAATTTTCAGTGCATTATAATGTTAAATGCATGATGCTGACTTGGCTCTGTTATATTAGGATTGACACATCTGGAGACCTTGAATTTATCATTCAGTTTAGTGACTGATAGTGGTTTACATAAGTTGTCTGGATTGACTGCTCTTAAGTCACTTAATCTGGATGCTCGCCAAATTACAGATGCTGGGCTGTTGGCTCTGACAAGTTAGTACTTTCACTTATTTCTTTGTACCATTCTTCTAACTTTGTGCATCTAAGTTGGAGACATTCTGGTGTGCCTTTGATCCTATTTATGGCTTTTTGAAATCTTATGGTTGTATCTTTTGGTTGAAGTCTCTTTGCTGTCTTTGTGGAGTGAAGAAATTTGGAGCTATATTTTTCCTTGATTTTTGTGTTTTACAAGGTGACCACTGTGAAATGTAGGTTGTCGACCCCTTTTTCCTTGCCTTAGATTGTTACAGGATAGCCAGGTTTGGAGTCATAAATTTTGCTGAGCTTTCAGCTATGAATGTTTCCTTATATAAAAACATTGTGTCTCTAGATGGAGAAATCTTTGAAAGCAAATAAATAATTTTTGAACAGATCAGAGAACTCTGATTCATTATTGACATTACAGGAAAGTAAATAAATAATAACTTAAAAATCCATGGACTGGATCATTCATTTCTTGTGTTAAGATGGCAAATTTCTTACCTTATTTTCATCCGTGGCTATTGGTGTATAGCTGTATATTGAAACCTGTTTCATAGTGTTATTCACCATTCAGGTCTAGTGTATTCATCCGTTTTAAGAATCTTATATCAATTATTGCTGCACCAAGATGTCTGTAGTGACATAATTCATTTTCCAAAAGCTAAGTCTAAGTGGGCACCAAATTGCTGCTCCATTGTCAATATTTTATTCACACTTCTCTATTTTTCTTCATTGTGTAATCCGTATGAAGTCATCACATTTCTGATTTTGCTGATGCAGGTTTGACTGGACTGATACATCTGGATCTTTTTGGGGCTAGGATTTCGGACACTGGAACAAATTATTTGCGATGTATGTCAAAAATATTGACATTGCTTAAGTAATTAAAATTGCAAGTTGCTTAATGGACCAGTTTTCTTGTTTGAAAAACTTGAATCTATCATTTTGTCATATTCAAGTTTTATTATAGCTTTTAACCTTTGATGTTTTCTTTTTGTTTGTTTGAAAAACTTGATTGTTTTGGTTTGCTCTTTGCCTTGAAGACTGGATAGTTTGGACATACATACTTGAGGAAGTTCAGGAGTAACTTTGAGAAATATAAGGTCCCTTTAGTTGATTTATTGAGGTGTATTTATATCTCCAATGGTAGGATAATCAGTAGGCTCAAGAGAACTTTTAGAATCATGTTTATTAAAAGGTTGTTATGGTCTTCATCAATAGGCCTAATATTGAGTTTGGCATAATCTCATTTTCATTGTAAACTTTTCTCAAGAATTTTGTTTTACATGTTCTAATTTTGTGTTAAATGTTCTTGCACCTGCTTGTTTTCATGTTAAACAGGCTTCAAGAACCTCCAATCCCTTGAAATATGTGGAGGTGGTTTAACTGATGCTGGGGTGAAAAATATCAAAGATCTTACCTCTTTAACGCTATTGAACCTTTCACAAAACTGCAACCTGACAAACAAATCCTTGGAACTGATTTCAGGTAAGTTTTGCTTTTATTCCTCATGGTTTTATGGTGTTTATTTAGCTTCTTTTTTTTCTCCTTTTTTGGCCATTGTTAGTGCAATTCTTGAATAGAACAAACCTTGCTATGCTTGTATAGAAAATGATACAGAGACATATATAAGACAGCTACTTGTATCTCTAGTGTCAGATTATCTCATCTGGCAATTGTCCCGCTTGGCATTCTGCTGCAGGACCAGTGATTTGCAGTACTTTTGCTACTGTCTAGTAACTTGGTCATGTATGATTAGTTGGTCCAGGAAATGTCTAAACACGCAAAGATGAACGGGCAGTCAGTAAAACTGGTGAATTGAGAGCTTATTTGGGGCCTTCTAATAATGGCTTCTGAATGTGAAAGTATTCTAGTCCATGGCTTCCATCTGTCTGTGCTCTGATGAAGTCAGTGAGATCTTCTAATCATGGATTTTCATTTTCTGGTGTAAATGCAGGCCTGACCGCATTGGTGTCATTAAATGTTTCAAATTCTTACATAACTAATGATGGTTTGCTGTATTTAAAGCCTCTAAAGAATTTACGGTCGCTATCTTTGGAATCCTGCAAGGTAACTGCCTCTGAAATTAAGAAGCTCCAGTCAACTGCCCTTCCCAATCTTGTCAGCTTTCGACCAGAATAATATTGCTGGGGCAACTGTAACATATGCTGTAAATAGCTGCTATCACCTGGAGGTAGCTCTCTCTACAATTCAATAAATATATGTTAAAACGTGAGAGGCCGCCTTACTAATGGGGTCAGGGTAATTGTGCTAATTATATGGACAGTCAATGACAGGTGATTGTAAATATGTTTGGCTGCTGAATTTGATATTACCTCTTTTCTTGTTTCAAAAACAAACAAATTTTGTACATATAAATTTTATGTTAATTAACTATTTTCTGCACATTGTCTTCCAAGTTTCATCTGGAGATTCAAAACAGAAGGCAAAAACCAGAGGGGAAGAGGTTTGACTGTGAGTTACACTCAAATCTGAGTAACTTGTTTCAGGGTATGGTCTCAATCACAAAGCATGTAAGCAGAATTACATGTTTGAATGTTTGATGAAATGGAAGCAAAAGCTGAAAATTAAATCCTCAATCTCAATAACTATAGTACAACAAGAGAGTCTATGTTCCTCAATCCAGTGCAAAATCTATTTCTTCAAAACTAGAAATCAAAAATGAGAAACTTGCAGCTAGAAATAACAAATCATCAGGTAAGCAACAGCAATCTCTAAATTATTTGCAACTAAATAATAAAATTCAGCTTGTATATCAATCAGCTAAAAAATAATAAACCTAGTGTTGTATAGAATGAAGCAAACATTAGATGTCAATTGTTCTTCCAGTAGCCTGAGATTGATGCCTACTTCAAATCTTGGCTTTTTACCTGGCAATATGATGAATTTACCATGCTTACAGTAATTTTTTGTGATAAGTTTTTTCAGTTTATCACGGGGTAAAAGAACAAAAAAAAAAACAGTAATAATTAAGGATTTGGTTTTGCCAAGGAAAATTAATTCCGGACGTGACCATAATATGAGGCTTCAACCTTATCTGGAGTAACAAAAATTTCATGTCAAAGTGCGACGAATGGACCAAGGATCAGTTTCATCAGAACTGCTTAAACCATAGGGTTTAATTTGGGCTTATGGCTCAAGCCCAACCAAAAAGTTGGGCTCTAAGAATCACGCTATGTACAAGTTTATGCAGCTTTATGATCAGATTCAAATTTGAAACCATGACGATTATTTTTACTGTTTTTAATTCTCTATTTCTTTCTTTTGTCATTCTCACAAAGAAACTATTTTTTGTTTTTTTTTTATCCTAAGCAAACTCTCCAAACAAATATCTTCTCTTTTCTGTCACATTTGCCTGTTTGCCTACCGAAATCTTTGAACTTTGTCAAAAAGAGAGGGAAAAACCCATATTCTATTTTCTCTCTGAAAATTAATCTAAAACCAGAAATGAAATCGAAGAATTGTTGAAGGAGATCGGCGGACTACTGGAGCAGCGGATTTCGCTTTCTTCTTCGGCTGATAGTGATAGTCTCAGATTTGGCAACAGCTTCAGCACTACTCTGAGTTCCCTGATTTCAACAACTATCTCGTTTTTATCCTTTCTCGAGCTGATGTTTGCTTCTTTTCCTCTCTCCGTTTGTTTTCTCAGTAACTAGTTTAGTAGAATTTTCTTTTCCGGATTTTCGTTTTTTTTTTTTTTTGAGGAAAAGAATTTTGGGTATTGATTTGATTGTACGGTTTTTATTTCTTTAATGAAATTTCTTTTTATTGGATTGTGTTTCTCTATAGAATATTTGAATTTGGTGACTATAGGTTTAATAATTCTGTAATAGAATTTGCAAAGATTGTATATTTATAGGATTAACAGCATTTTGGGTATTGTTAGTGGTGAATTTCTGCTGGCCTACCTATTTGCTAGTGGTGAACAAGCCTCGAAAGATAGGGAAGCTGCTGTTTTGGCTCTTGGTGCAACTGGTGAAGGTTGCGTTACTGGTCTTTATTCTCATTTGTCCGAGGTAATTCTTGTTGTTTTTAACCGGTACACAAAGTTTAGAGGCAGATTACAAGGTGAAGAATAAATGGTGCATATATAACAGTCATCGGTTTTCCTTAACTCAATTTATGCTCTTAAATTTTTTATTTTTGCTATTGCATTGCTTTTACTTTATTCTTCTTTGAAATGCTTGCCGCAGAATTTGGAAAAAAAAAAAGGTCATATTTATGTCTGCATGTTGTGGCATTTCTAAGTCCCCTTTTAGATCATGCGGAAGAATTCTTCTTGGACACTTTCTCGATTCAGTTCAGGTATGGATTAAAATTGCTCCATTGGTTGTTTCTCCTCAAGCCTATTTTCCTTCTGTTTGATGCTGTTTGGCTGTTAATATATTTTTTTAATCTAATAAATATATATAACCACCAAGACCATTTTTGCATCTTATGCCTTTTATTTTCTGTTTTTGGCACATAGCACTCCTAAACTACTTTTTGTTGTTTTGTCTATGCATTGGATTTTGTAGTTGAGAGCTCTCGTGTTTCCTTTATATCAGTCTAGTGGGCATCAGAAAGGCTATGAGCAATTTGATGCTGTTCTTATGGGTATGCTGCGAAGAATATTGGATGCTAACAAGTGGGTAAAAGAGGCTGTTTGACCGGCTTTTGCAATGCTTGAAGAGGTTATTATAAACTTGCTGCACGTTGTAATTCAGGTTAAATTCTTATAGATTTCAACAATTGTTTTATTCATTTGAGGCTGCTGAAGAGGTTGCACCAAGTTTGGAAATAATTGTGTACACTAGCTTATGCGCGTGCTTTGTCTAACATCAGGTTTTTTTGGCTGGCCTTTACATTATAACAAGCTCTTTTTACTGTTGCAATTATGACTTATGAAACCCTATTACTATATTTTTTATTTTGTATGCTGCTTTATCAAAATATAAGTTACTAATATCTCAAAAAAAAAAAAGTTGCTAATTATGTTTCTTTTCTATATGCAGTTTTTTGAGTTGCTTCTCTGAGAAAGCTTTAATTGGGTTCTGTAAACCAATACATTAAGGTTTATATTCTTACTTTTAATGGATGTCGTTCTGATACTTTTTGATGTTATACATTAATTTATTGAAGGCTTGGTGTACATCCATGGATAAATACCTTCCAGGTTTGTTTGTCCTTGCTTATGACCTTGCCGCAGAAGTGCTGAAATTGGTCAATAGTTTCTTGTTTTCTTCTTGTACTCTTGTTTTTTATTATAATTCTGTTGTTTGCTTGGAATACTGAAATCTGCTGTAAGTATTTCCTAATTTTGCTTATAATTTACTGTAACTTCAAGTCTATAAAAGCTTGGTATGAATCATTTTTCATTTCTGACTTTCCAGTTTCAGCATTGATTTAGAAGATGTAGTATTGGAATTAGACATTTTTTTATCTAGTCCTTGATGTTAATGGTTCTTGGGTTTTTTCTGTCACTAGACCATAAAATTGCTGGGCATTGCTAATATATGTTTTAACTAGAATACTATGAAAAGAACTGTTTCTGTTAACTTTTAATAAGAGTTAACATAAAAATTTTTCTTTTTTTTTTTTTTTGGTTGAGCTGTTTGGTGTCCTATTGATTACATACGGCTCTTATGGGTCTCCTGCTGAGAATATTGGATACAAGAGGCTGCTTCTTTGGATTTTGCAATGCTTGAAGAGGTTGTTATAAACTTGCTGTACTACTTGCTGTATTTTGGGTTAAATCCTTATATATTTGAACAATTGTTTTATTCATTTGAGCTAAACATGTTTTTTATCTAGTCGTTGATGTTAATGGTTCTAGGTTTTTTTCTATCACTAGACTATAAACTCATCGGACACTGCTAATATATGTATTACGTAGAATACTACAATAATAGCTGTTTCTGTCTCCTACAAAATTTTTAGTATTTTGAGTTACTGAATGAATTGTTGAAGTTATCTCGTTCCTTTTAAGCTTGATCATTTTTAGATCAATGTTTTTTGCCTAATGATCAGGCTTGTGTAGCATTTGGTCAGCTAATTGAAGTCCGCCCATCTTTTCTGGAGGTGGGTATCTTTTGTTTGTTACATTTTAGTTTTCTTACATTTTCTTATTGCAGTTCTTTTAGTAGCATGAAGTGTTACCTTCTTTTAGTATCTATGTCATACACTTGTTTCTTTTTATGCATAACACTCTGTGATGTGATTTGTAACTATTTGACAGCCACACTTGAAGAATGTAAGTGGATATATGTTGCAAGTCAATAAAGGCATTGATGAATGATGTGGCCCTTGAAACATGTAAATTTGGGTAACTTTCTTCTTTGTGCATTCCATGTCTGAATGTCATATATTTTAGATTAAGATGTCTTTTAAAACCATTTTTTTATACCCGTGTCTTTTAGTCTCAATGTCATAAACGTGTCTTTTCATGCCTATCCACCACCTTTTTTTTTTTGTTTTTTCTTGTGATGTGATTTTTAACTATTTGACAGTCACATTTGAAGAATGTAATTGAATATATGTTACGAATGAATAAGGCCATTGATGAATGATGAAGTAGCACTTTAAGCATGTGAATTTTGGTAACTTTCTTATTTGTGCATTCGATGTCTGAATGTCTTATATGTAGATTAAGATGTCTTTTAAACCATATTTTTGATAGCTTATGCAGATTGACATGCTTCAAACTAATAGTTTTTGGCAGAATGCAATATCTCTTGAATTTAGCCTTTTCTTTTACTTGCTCACCTCTGCTTGTTCACATAACATGTTTGTTAAACATGTCAGAAGTGATGGAGGTGTGCTTGCCCCTGTGCCTCTGCCTCTATGTGCTATCGAACTATAGTTATAAAAAATTTTAATATTGTTGCCATCAATATTAGTCTAATAATAAAAATATGTAATAAAAATAAAAATTATTTAAATTAAAATTTATAAGTAAAATTATTAAAGGCATTTTAGTTAATCATTTTTAATATTTTTGGAATTAAAATTTTATTAAGGTGATTTTAGTCAGTCATTTTTAGTACTTTTAAAGTTCAAACTTTTATATAATAAAGAATAGATAATATATAGAATAGGAGATGTGAGATAATATTTTAATGGATGATATATAGATGATTAATAAATTCATATAATAAAGAATATGATATGTGAGAAAATATTTTGATATTGTTTGTAGAAGTTGAAAATTCCATTGATCATATATAAAATATATATTTATATTTACACTAATGTAAAAGTAAAGACTATTACATATTTTTCTAGCCTATTATTCATAAAAGACTGATAAAAATAAGCCAGTTATTTAATTTTCTCTTGCTTTTCTCTTTTTTCTCTTTATTACCTATTCTTGAAAGCAATCTTTGTGTACAAATTTATTTTATTGATATTTTCTTGCTGAAATGACAACAATTTTGTTGAAAATTCTCCAATTGTGAGGGATTCAAACTTCGGAAGTAATAAATTAAAGATGAATTAATTTGTGAGGAAAGATGGGTCGAGAATTGCATTATATGGATAAGCATAAAGCATTAGATTTTGATATGGTTCTAATACAATACATCTAGGGCATTTGTAGGGGATAAAAAAAACAAATTGGAAAGAAGAAAAATTGTCTACCACAAACCCCTAGATCAAGTAGGAGTCGTTGACAAAGAGAAATGGTGACCAACCAAACATGGGTTGGCTACATATTTCCACAATGGAATCGTTTAGGTAGAATGTTGTCTTCCACAAAATAGTAGCAAGAAGTGATGCCTGCTTCTATATGATGGAACCATGCTCGTCTCCAATAAGGATTAATATACAGCACAATGGCAATACTCAGTAGCACCATGACGTAGGACACAACAAAACTTACATAAAAGACATTCATGTCAATTGAGCCATTGTCAGTTGAAGCCGTTGGCGTTAATGAAGATGGTCCATCTGTTGAGCAATTGTTTGGCAACGGTGGGCCACAAAGAAAACGATTTCCCAGGTAGCTGCCTTCTTCGAAGGTTGCAAATTGCGCGGTCCTTTCAGGTGTACTTCCGGATAAATTGTTGTATGCCACACTGAATGAAGACAAGTAAGTCAACCCCACAAGTTGAGAAGGGATTTTCCCGCTCAAGTTGTTGTGAGAAAGATCAAGACTCTCAATTTGCTTGAGTTCAGAAACCGCTGGTGGTATTGGTCCTGTTAAACTGTTGTGAGACAAATTCAAAGCAATGATTTTTCGGAAGTTTTTTACTTCATGGGGAATCTCACCAGTCAACTTGTTGCAAGAGAGATCAATTCCAGAAAGTAAAGTGAGGACTCTTCCCTTGTAAGAGTAGGATATGTTTTTTGTTGTGAACTCTATTGGCTCATCAGGAGAGAAAGAACTGGGAGCTTGTGCAACAGCAGCAACATAACGGACATACTCTTGGGATACATCATTCAGTGTTGTAATCTTCAGGCAAGGAGGAATTGTACCCGAAAGTTTGTTATTAGAAAGATCAATCAAGCTTAACTGACCCAACTTGCATAACTGAACCGGAATCTCACCTTCAAAGTGGTTGTTATTTAGGAGAAGGTAACTCAACTGAGAAAGCCTGCCAATCCAATTTGGAATGCTTCCAGTTAAGCGGTTATTACTGAGATCTAATGTCACCAAGATAGTGCTGTTACGAAATGCATCTGTGAGTGGCCCTTGTAGCTTGTTTCTTGATAAATGAACTTGACTGATCCATAAAGGGCTGAAGCAAGATGGCAGACTCCCAGAGATACTGTTCACCGAAAGATCCAGAAGTTTAAGATTAAGATTGAGCTGGCAAAACTCCTTGGGGATTGGACCTTCAAGATGATTATTTGCCATGACAATTTCTTCCAAACTTGACATATTCCCCATCCACCTTGGTATCCGACCAAAAAGTTTGTTCTTGCTTAAATCTAATGTTGACAAACCTGAAATATTCTCCATCCACCTTGGTATATCACCAAAGAGTTGGTTATCGCTAAGATCCAATGTTGTCAAAAAGGTACAATTAGACAAACAATCTGGGATCCTTCCAGAGAAGAGATTCATATCCAGTTGCAACTCCCTCAAGTTTATCAAGTTAAAATTTGAAGAGAACATCGAGCCTTGCAATCTGTTGTTTGACAATATAAGAACACTTAATAAGGAACAGCCCATTGCCAAGTGCTCTGGTAATCCTCCTGTCAATTTGTTGTTAGACAAGTCCAAGGTTCGTAGAGAATTCATATCTCCGATTGAAACTGGAATGCTACCGCCAAAATTATTTTTTGACATGTTCAAAAACCATAATGATGGTAGTTTTGCTCCAATTTCATTTGGAATGTTGCCATAGAAGGAATTTTTGGAGATATCCAAGTATGATAAAGCTGTATGTGAAAGGGAAGGTAACTGAAATGGTCCCAGGAAAGAGTTGTTGGCGAGATCTAATGCATATAAATTTGTGTTGTTCTCCAACAACCAATTTGGAAATTCCACTTTCAAATTGATGTTAGATAGATAAACATGCCGCAAGTCATGTTGATGATAGAGAAATTGAGGAAATGATCCAACACAACTAGATATGCTGATCTCTTTCAGTTGGAATGTTGGGGCCAAAGAATGCATCTCGGTTTCAGCATATATGGTATTGTTGTCCGCAAAGATGGACTGGAGTTTTGAAAGGTTGAACAAGGGTCCTAATGAGCTTGGGATTTCAAAGTAATTGTCTGAAAGATCCAACGTTCGGAGGGATGTTAAACTCTTAAGGGCAGATATACTTCCAGAAAATTGATTGGAATAAAGAAGCAAACTTTCAAGCGATGTGAGATTGGAGAAGCACTCGGGCAAGTTACCCCTTAAATTATTGTAGCCAATATCCAAGTATTGGAGACTTGTCAATTCACAAAAACCTGCAAAAGTAGCATTATATTAAATAAATGAAGAAGGTGCCATGCGCTGGAACAAAAAAAAAAAAAAAAACAATTAGTCTCTCCATCCCTTATATTTTGTCACTTACTAACATTTCATAAAATTTAGAGAGATCAAAAGGAAAAGAGATAATACATAAAGAAAATTTAAAAAAATTTGGTGTTTGTTTAGAACATAGTAGGTTTCGTTACTTTTTAAAAAGTTATGATAAAAGGTAATATTATATAAGAATAATATATGAAGAGTAACATTTTGTATGGGAGAATATTTCAAATGCAAAAGGGACAACATGAGTATAGGATGGTGGGACTAAGGAGAACTTAAAACAAAGGTAAGGTGTATATCAATCTCAACCTTGGGAATGTAAGGTGCCATTGAGTCCGCAGTCCCATAATTCTAGATTCTTGAGAGAAGGCATTGCTCCAATTTTTTGAAGAAAGTTGTTTTCCAGGGAAGCGTCCCCTATGACCAAGGATTCCAAATTCTTCAAATGAATTGGACCTATTTCAAAAAATAAATATATACGGAAACATAAGAAGATATATTTAAAGTAACAAAAAAAAAAGGATAATATCATAATATGTATGCAATTAACAATAAACTGGCATCCTATCATAAATTACAACTTTAACAATTGTATAAATATTTATTTCATACTATTAAGTCAATTAATTAAAATGTTTATTTTGGAAGAAAATCAAAATGCTTTTTTAAATCTAGAAAAAAAAAAAGTAAAAAACATATCAACAAGCTTAATGAATTCAGATAAATATTGTTAATAACAAGAAACAAAATGATCGATTATTTAAAATCAACAATTTTCTTTTTTTTTCTTGGTTTATATATATATATGCTAAACTATTTTGCTTTTTTTTATTAATTACTAATTTACATATGAGCGATACATTCATTGCAAAATTCTTGTAATTTTAAGTACATGAAATGCTTATTTGAATGGCTAAAGGTAAGAGACATCCAAAAAATAAAGAAATAAAATGGATTTATAACTATAAATATAAAATATCTAATTTACCATGTAAGTTAAGACTACTATTGATGTCACCAAATATCACTCTCAAATTTTTAAGAGAAGTCAACATTCCAATATTTTGAATAAAGTTAGAAGGGAGAGATAAACCTTCTAGCTCCAACTTTTTCAAATTTGTCAAATTTTTTCATTCTATTCAATCAAAGTTATGAATTATGTTTTGAATTGAAAATGATACCACTACTTAATAAGTAATTGAAAATTTGAAAGATTTTATTTTACCATGTAAATTGAAGCTGCCATTGAACTCACAAAAATACACGTACAAATTTTTAAGGGAAGTTAGCATTCCAATATCTTGAATAAAATTAGAAGGGAAAAATGAATCTTCTAACATCAACTCTTCCAAACTCGTCAAATTTTGCCATTCTAATCAATGAAAGTTAGAAATTATGAAAATTAAGAAGTATGTTATGACAAAAAATAGTTGCAAATGACAACCAATAAAATAGTTCTCCAAAATAAGTCTCAAGTATAGTATATGCATATAAGCTATGAGATTTGGCCAACGATTCATGTCTTTTCTGTGAGGGTTGATCCTGTAAGGTGATAATTTAAATCTTTGGCACTACTTAAGTTAGGGATTATCATAGAAAAAAGTATATGCAAATATAAATACAGTCACTTTTGTTGACTCATTTTAATGGACAGAGACAAAAGTTTTAGTAAAAGGCTCAATATTAAATTTAACATATGTAATATTATTTATTTTTATAATTTTTTAGATATTAATCAAATTTATTTACATAAAAGACTATTGATTAAATTTACCATTAGTCAAGGCATATTTGAAAAAATCATTTAACAAAAGATAAAATCACAATGAAAAAGAATTTTAGGGCAAAAGTTAACTATTAAGTATATGAAAAATTTTCTATCTATATATTGGAATAATAAGAGAAATTATGTTAAAAAAAACTTTCAAAAAGTATTCAATAATGTGATATGTGAGAAAAATGGGAAGAATTTATAAGAATAAATAGGAGAAACAAAATGATTTGATAAAATTAATGAGTGGGTGGAGTAGGGAATAAAAACATAATACAAAAATTTTAATTTTTTTATTGAAATGTGAAAAAAAAATTTTTAAATCAAACTATAGATAATATATATATATATGTCAATAACGGAACATTAAAGTTATGCCATTTCAATCTAATATAAGAATTTAGTAACATAAGGCTTGATGTTTTTATTAATTTCTTTTTTAAAAATATTTTATAAAATTTTATAATTTTTTATATTTTTCAAATAATATGTTCTATTTTCAACAAAATAATTCTAACAAAATTAAATAATTATTAAAATAAAGGAAGTAAATAGAATAAAAATGAAATAAAATAAAAAAATTGACAATTTGAGTAAAAAAAGTTTTAAATATTTAGAAGTGATAAAGAAAAGAATAAATATGATATAATTGATTAATATATTTACCTAACTTTTAAACAAAAAATTAATAGATAAAAAAATATTAATCAACATAATAAAAACAAATTAAAAAACATTCTCCTTGTTTTCTTAAATTAAATTTTCATAGATTTTCTGGATTGTCTCAAAATTGTTTTCATTTCCTTTGACACCTACAATTCATATTTTAAAATTTTTTCATATTTTGCTTTTTAGAATTTAAATATATAGCTTATCAATATTGTAAAAAAAAAGTGAAGAAATAGTGTTAAAAATTTTATTTGGCTTATATAAAAAAATAAAACAAGAAAATTGTCACACACTATTAAAATTAAGTTCGAAATTATCTCAATAAAAATTAAGTTCCAAGTTGGGATTGGGATGACATGGTGGTAAGAGGTATTTAATCCACGTAGGAAATAGATAAAGAATAAAATAAATGTTGGACTAATATCTTTCCCTAACTGGTTAAATAAATGTAAGTAATAATAGTAATTATAAGAGCAAATCAATATAGTCATTATAACTTACGGGTAGTCAGTGTTCCATTAAAACTAAAACCTTCCAAATAAAGAGTCTTCAATGATGGGAATAAGTCCAGCGATTGTGGTGAAAGGCTACAAGCTGCAAATAATACAATCATGGAATGTAAAGAAGTTAGTAATACAATTAAATCTTTCTATATGATTTGTAAATACACATATTATATAATTTTAATCCCACAAATTTAAATCAAGATGTACTATCCTGTAAAAATAAATGTTGTCTTCTGATTCAAAACAGAGAAAGGCGCAATATTAAGTTACAATCAATTTAAATTTTCTTTTAATTTTTCTAATAAAAATAATTAAACAGAATCGTGGTATTTTTATTTTTGTACAGCCTAAATTTCATTAACAATCAGAGTTAGAGAAGTATAATATTGTCCGACAAAAGTGTATATAGACAAGAGTAGTTTAATATTAATATATAATTCATTAACATCACTGATTAATCACTGAAATAAAAAAATTACCTAAATGAAAGATAGGGCAAATGTTTCGGTTAGTTTGAATTTTAATTTCTTAAAGTGTTTAGAGGTGTAATTAATTCAAACATACATGAACAAATTGATGAAGACACAATTTTGTTTTAGTAGTACCTCTGGTGTAATAGCAAGATATAAATAGATTCTCCAAGTTGTTCAAAGCATCTAACCCTGAAGAGAATCACAAATAAAAATATAAGTAAATTAAATTAAAATAAAACATAATATTCTTGCATCTATGCTTTAAAAGCATATATTTAAGTATTATATAATAACAGGATATCATTCAATAACTTTAGAGAGAGAGAGATGAAGGAGAGGAGGTAGTATTACCTTTAAGATCTATTGATCCTTTCAAGTTGTAGCCTCCTAAAGACAAAGACTTTAGATTTGAAAGTCTACCAAGAGATGACAATATGCTACAATTGAAGAGATTCCAATACAAATGAAGCACTTCCAGATTGATCAACCTTAGTTCCGTTTCATTATCTATATAACATTAATTTACATAATTAATTTCATTACTTTTTAATTTCTTAATTAATTCTAAATAATTAAAAACTCTTTTTGGAAAAGTACAACAATTTCCACTAAAATATTCCAGTTTGTAAACATGTAAATTATACATTTCCCAACAAATTGTGTTAAATACCTTTGGATGGAACAAAGCCATTCACTTGATTACCCGAGATGTCTAATTCCACTAAATTGGTCAAAGCATTTAATTCTGAAGATAGAATTACAAAAAAAAAAACTAATAATTAATTAACAAATCATATAAAACCCCAAACATATATAGATTTTAAACCATATTTACCTTTAATATGTATCGGCCCATCCAATTTGTTACTTTTTATATACAAAGACTTCAAATTTGAAAGCATAGCAAGGGATGAGAATATGCTCTTGTTGAAGAGATTTTCACTTAAACCAAGCACCTCAAGTTTGATCAACCTCAATTGTTCATTCTGTGAAAGATTAGTAACATAATTTCATCTTCAAAAGAATATCTAATTATTATATATATTTATTATTCAAATTCACTATATGTTGACTTACACTTTGGAATAAAGATCCGAGACTCTCAATTTGATTTTCGCCTAAATACAACTCTTTTAAGTTTGTCAAATTATTGAATTCTGTTCAAATCAAATCAAATATATATCAATCTAGTTATTCCTTTTTAAAACCATGAGATTTTTAAAACAACCCTACCTCGTAAATTAACAGTTCCTTTTAATCCGCAATTCTGCAAAACGTAAAGATTTTAAAGATGTAAATCATCTAGATGTGATAGGATGTTGTTTCCTAAATACCATTGCCATATAAATCCAAAGTCTCTAACTTGTTCAATTTTGATAACCTCTTCATACCTGTTACCAATAATATTACAAAATTTTAGTAAATAATCACTATTTTATAAATATATATATCTCAATTACAAAACAAACGTTATTTACTTTAACCTGATTTTTATATATAACACAATATTAACATTACCTTCTATAGGATTTGACCCGGTGAATGTGTTTTCTGCTAGATTTAAAGACTTGAGTGATGAAAGTTCACTTAAGGATGCTAAAATGCTATCATTAAATTGATTAACACTTAAGTCAAGGATCTCAAGTTTGTCTAATTTCAATGACAGCCTTTCAAAACCTACAAGGAAAAATGTAGCATTTAGTGACTTTTTGAATAAAGAAATAAAAAATATTTAGATAAGATGAACAAAATTGGTAATCAATAAAAATGAATTTTCAAATGCAAAATATTTATTGAAGTAGCAGTTAATAATTAGGTGAATATGAATTAACCTTGATTGTCAATACAACCAGCAATGGAATTGCCACCCAAATAAAGACTCTTCAATTCCTCAAAAGGAAGAAACAAAGAGGCATTGAGATACCAAGAATCTTTCCCACTCCAATCATACTCTTCCAAATAATAAATATAATAATGATGATGATAATAATTATCAACTAAATCACCATAGACTACAGTAATTGTAAAATTAAGGAAGAGTCGGATTACTCGTCCAGTGGAGGTGTTGCACTCAACCCTTTTCCACCGACAACAATCTGAACTCTGTTTTCCCTCATCCACCCAATAATTCTTTACATCTTCAATATGAGTAAAGAAAGGTTTGAGTTGCAAGAGAGTAATTTTTTCTTGCTCCCAGCACCTTTCACATTCATAACACCTTCCTAATAGGAATGCTACCAAAACCACCCACAACCATTTCCACTCCATCTCAATTAATTAATGCACTTTCAAAAAACTTAATATTAACTCTGCTACTATGCATTTGGCATCACTATATCCATGGGGTTTATATACTAAAAAGTCACTTGAAATAATACAACCTTGTTTCCTAAAAATTCATTGAAAATGGCACACTCAGTCTTGACGTACTTGTCAAATTCCATAACACCAAGAAAATACATTGCATGAAGCTTCCTACAAATTTTCTTTGTGGAAAAGTAAGCACAGACTCTGACAATAATAATAAACACTCCATCTTAATTATAACATCATTAATGTCTTGTAGTGACACTGCTAACAAAAATTAGTGCTTACTTTTTTTTTCTTTGTAAATCCTTATTAAAACTTTTGTTTTGTTTTTTTAATTTAATTTTTTAGAATACTTTAGTATATCCTTTGTAACCAGCTTCATTTTTTTTTTGTTGCACTAAAAAAATTTTAGGATGTATTTCCATAGTAAAAAAAGTGAAAAGATGAATTAAACAAGGTCAAAAAGTGGAAAAACAATAAATTTAGCTATTTTTGGTAAAAAAAGAAAAAAAAAAGATTATTATCACTTTAATTAATACAAATAAATCACTCCAAATGTAAAAGAAAAGATGAAAGAAAATAGAAGAGGTATGAGCATGTGTTATTACTATTTATAAAATTATCGTCGTATTTTAGATTTTTTTAGCAAATGTTATAATAATAAAATCATATTTTTTTTCGTTTCATTTTCTAACTCTACCAAGACAATGAAGGTGAAAAAAAATTATATTTTCTTTCTTTTCATTTTTTTTAACCAAGCACATCAATAAAAATAATGTATATTTTTTTTTATCTTTTTCAATTTTTTCTCTTCAATTTTTTTATCTGTTATTTTTCTCTATCCCATTACTAAGCAAGGCCTCTATTTAGTATTTTTTTTTTTGTTTGCCAACCTT